CCCCCCCCCCCCCCCCTCCCCCTCGTTGCACGCAAGCCCAGCTAACGAAGCTTCCTGAGTCCGGTAATCTCCAAAGTACCTCGGGCCGTTCTCCGGTCCAGCTGTTATGCCCCACTTCCTGGTCCGTTGCCGACGTGATTGCACTGAATTGCCTGTTTCCGCCTTAAAACATCTCTGAACTGAATTGCAAAACCTCCTTTGAGAAACTGTGCTCCCATCGGCGTGATTCCACTGATCTCTCATCATGAACTGCTGCTCCCAATTTTCTAGTTGCTTCCGTCCACCTTGGCACCGCGGTCCATGGCTGCACCAAGGGGCGCATAATTTCTCCAAATTGATCCCAAAAGCTTACAATGAAAACCCGAAGCACCCCGCAAGGACGATGAGGAGCCAACTGCACACCAAGCTTCACTTACTACACCCGCTCAGACCTTTCTCCCTTTCCTGTCGGCAAGGGCTTACAGCACTCAACGCAAATCTGCTCTCGAAGGCAATACATCTCCAAGACTGCTTCAACCGATAAAAGATGATGACACTCTAAGAGCTCTTATCCGCCTCCAGGGGGCTCGGGTTACTTCTTGTTTGATCTAAAAATTTTGCGGGCGTGAGGCCTCAAGCCCCCTGCCATCAGAGGCACGTCCACCCCTCCCCGCCCCAGAGCGACAACTCCAGCAAGGAAAGGGGCCGGCCCCGATGGCACGCCCACTGAGGAGATACGGCTTGAGCCAAAATTGGCTATCTACTCTTTCTTTCCGGGCTTCATTGCCCAGAGGGGTGATTTCCAACTGTGAAGCCCAACAAGCGCTATCTACGCTCTTCTTCTTCTTCTATAGGCTGTGCAAGACCCGAAGGCCTTGCTGGGGCGAACCCCAAGCCCAAGCGGACGCCCAAGGGTCGGTACCCAGGAGGTGGAGCAGTAATCACTGAGGATGAACGTGGAAGGGACCATACATAAACATCCGTAGTTAACCTATCTACGCTCTTTCTTTCTTTCTTTCTTTCATGCGGGCTATGGACTGCCCCCGAGGGAGCAGCCCGGGCTCCTGCCCAGCCCTTGTTGGGCTTCGCTGGTGCTATGAACCTATCCCCTCGGTTCTCTTCTTCTTCTATGGGCTGTGCACGACCGGCGAACCCCCAGCCCGCGCGCGGTCCGTAGTCTCAGTCTACCCAGGAGGACCGGAAATGATGTCAGTTGCGAATGGAAAGGGATTCCCACAGCAAGTACCATAATTAATTAACTCATTCCCATTTCCATTCTCAATTGACTCTTTTCCCTACTCCACTGGGCTGTGAACCTGATCGGCTATCTCTCTCTCTCCCTCTCATGGCTGGGCTGATCCACGAGACTTCGCATTCCTGACTCTGACTCCTCAACAACTGCACGCTTTGAGACAGGGATCGCTACGAAGGCGTCATCGTGGACGTCGTCATCACTTGCATCAAATCCTTGAACATCTTCCACCAACCTCACAGACATCTGTACAAGCACAGCTTGCAGCTGATCAAGGTCACATCACCCTATTCACCCTTTGAATAAATAGCAGGCAGTGTGCCGGTCCCAGAGCTCTTCTGCGAAGTCATGAGCTTCAGGAAATCCGCCGGTTCCGTTTTCAAAGCGAGCCACGATCCTGTCAAAGCCAGAGCCTGTTGTGTAGTGATAGACAGTGACCTTGGCTCTTTCACAAAGCATGGCAATCAAGCCAGCGGCTAGCACTCTGCATGTTGAAATGCATCTCGTGCGGAGATGCGTCTAAGGCAAGGGCGAGCCTGCGATAAGCCATCTGCCCTTCAAGAGCTTCAAAGAAAGGCATCAGGTTGAAGCGAATCGGCCACAGGACAACACCAGTTCGGAGATGCTTCAGGAAGGGAACGTCTTCTGACCATGCAGCGACTTCGTACCCAGCCGGGGGCAACTTCTTTGGCTTCAGGACCGCTCCCATGTGAAGCCCCGCGTCAAACCATTGATCCAAGTTCAAGGCTTTCTCCGTGAAATCCTCTGTGACTAAATCCTGGCGGAGACAGAACGATCTCATTTTGCCCCTTCAATCCTGGCAATGAGGGCAAATCCGGTCCTGCGTCTTGCGGGTTGCAGTCTTGGGAGCTTGTTTTGCAATCGGAGAAATGGTCTGCCGAGCGCGCGGCTGAAAGTTCTGCGCAGAGTTCACTGCCCTCTGCATCCTTGCACGGGTGGCCCACTGGAATCATTTAAGCATGAGAGAACACTTGTCGACGGACCCAAGTCCTCAGGCTTTCAAGATAGGCAGTGGCCCCCAAGGCGCTTTGCCCATCACGCCCTTCAGGATCCTCTGCATCGCCGACCTGGGGCAAAACTGATGCGGGCCAGCTGTGCGATGCCAAACTGGCTCTGCCTCAAATCGCGTCCTCTCGAAGTTCCGGTGGCGCTCCCAGCGCTCTGCGCGGCGCTCAGCTCGCGTCCGCGCCCCAGATGTGCCAGGTGACCGCTTTCGGCCCAGGAAGGACCAAAGGGACCGCGCCTGGGCCTTGCAAACATCCCTGCCAGCATGATCAACTTAGACATCAGATCGTGCCTTTTCAGCAGGCTGCGGGCTATCCTGGCCAAGTATAACCATCAGATGTATGAAGACAAGTCACTAGACAAAAGTCATCCCAGCTCTACCTGCCTTGGACAAAGTCCACTCGTCTTCTCATCTACTGGTAGCTGATGCTAACTCATTTCAAAGAAGCTATGCATCTCCACCGCTCCTGCCGCTGGAGGACGTTGCGACGTGCAGCTGTCAGGGGTGACTCTTCGGCTGGGATGTCATCCTCTCGACCCACAGGCATCCAAGGGATCTTGAGCAAAACTTTAAGTTCTGAAAGACGAAGACCGCTACAAAATCACCCCTACATGCGTTGTTCAAAAGATGTAACTGAACTCTGCTGTGAACCAGTCGGCAAGCATCCATGCCCCTTCCCCGCCGGACATACCCCAGCAGCGAGCATCACCATGCATGGGAGTGGGTCAACACAAAATTTCGCAAGTGTCGCAGACGATCCTGCATTCAACTGCTATTTAATATTGGAAGGCATACACACCAGACCCTCATTACGGTGGTCTGGCCTATACAAACTGAAGTGAGCACAGAAGCTGGGGACGTGCTTGCTTTGCAGCATCACCCAAAAAGAGATGTTGCCGGAACAGCCACAGGTGGCCATAATCAAGCATCTGCGTGCTCCAAGTTTCGGCAAGCAGCGGCTTGCACCAATTAAAAGTTGTGAAAGCTCAAGCGTGCGTTCAGCTTGCCAGCGTCTTCTCCTCAGCCTCCAGCTCCTTTTCTTGTGCTGGCACGTGCTTGCATGGTTGGCTTGCTTGATGTTTTACAGTTTCGGCCTGTTGGGGCTCCTCACCTGCCGTTTACCTGCCTTGCTAAGGACCACACATGCGCCAACCCAACTCGTCATTTTACTGAAGCTGCTGCACATGGTCGCTATCTCACAGCTTCGCGTCCCTTCCAGGCAACATATATGACTGCCAGTATATACAAACCACAGCCCACGTGGACATGTGCCGCACCGTAATCTGCAAACTGCTGTACAAACAGATACATATTGGCACAAACAGTGAGAGACGTGGCCAGCCAGGCAGCTATGAGAGAGGTGGTGGATAAGACCAGGTGATCCATGATGCGCCTAGACCCTGCAAAGGTAAGCAAGGGCACAGCTGCAAAAGGAAGCACTACACTCTGCAGCACATTCAGATATGTGTTCAGAATGTCCAAGCCATCTCGTTGTCCACCAAAATAGGCAGCAACAGAAAGGCATGGGACGAGCGCCATGGAGCGTGTGATGATGGCTCGCTTCCACGGAGCGACTTTCAAGTCCAGATATCCCTGCATCACCCATTGGCCAGCATAGGCACCAGTCATCGTACTTGACTGCCCCGCTGCGCAGAGACCTAACGCCCACACGATCTTCATGGGTTGCCCGAAAGCCTCTCCCAAGTATTGACCCGCGTTTGCAAGGCCAATCATATCGGTACCAGGCTTTCCATAGAAGCCCTTTGCAAATACTGCTACAACAAATGTGTTGATAACCAAGGATGTGAGAATGGCGGCCGCTGATTCTACTGTAAACAACTGAATGGCTTCCGCCTCACCGCCCGGCTGGAGGACCCTGCTTTGCACAAGGGCAGAGTGTAAGAACAAGTTGTGCGGCATGATGACACAACCAACCATGCCCACCACCTGCCAGGGATGAAAGTTTGCTAAGAAGGCACAATAACAATTAAAGAAAAACGAAGCGAGTGCTTTTTCTGTGTGAAAGCCTGCTGCATTGCCGAACGGGATAGCCGTGGAACGAGTAGGCCTTCAGCAACTGCCATGTTGTCAGGACAAATCCTTACATACAAGCGTCCCATGGACAAAGCCAGAATCAAAATGAGCACGCCGAAGAACAGCTCCAACGGCCGTGTTCCCAGACGTTCCAGGAAAAGAAAAATGAAAGCAGCAAAAGCTGTAATCAGAACTCCAACCGTCAGCGGGATGCCGAATAGAAGCTCCAAGCCTATAGAGCAGCCAATGACCTCCTGAATGTCGGAGCCGATGATTGCGAGTTCAGTAAATGCCCAAAGGAGTTGCCTCAAAGGCGGTGCAAAATGATCCCGGCAGTGCTCAGCAAGATGCCGCCTTGTGGCGCAACCCAGGCGTGCGGCGATGAGCTGCATTCCCAACCCCATCAATGTTGAGCCCATGAGGGCCCACAGTAAGCTATACCCAAACTGCGCACCAGCTTGAAGATCAGCCTCCAAGTTCCCAGGGTCCACGTAGGCAATGCTCATCAACCAGCCTGGGCCCGTAAATGCAAGCAGTCGATGGAACCAAGTCTGCCATGTCTCTTCCACGATGTTGATGTCGCTTGCATCATCCAGGGCCAGAGGCTTCTTTAGCTCCGCGACGCCGATGGGGGTAGAGGGATGTGAGTCTGGCGGATTAAACAAACCAAATGAGGCCAGGGCTATTGGAGTCGCCTCCCTTGAACTCTGACGGGTCAGAGCTGAGTCAACCTTGTCCAAGCTGCCAGAATGCTGCAGCTTGGGAGGCCGGGGGCGGGAGCGATCGGCCATTCCCGCACTCGTGCACTGGTAAGGTCTGGTGTGACTGTGCTGCTTGTCTCCCGCGGCTCTCGGTGCCTTCTCAAGGGTTTCTGTGCATTACAATACTCATCGGCAGCTTGCTACTATGGCAGGTGATTACAGCTGCGAGCCGCAAATCCTGTCGGAGATGGATGGGATCAATGTTGCTTGGCCATGGCACTGGCTTGAGACAGGGGGCAGGGTCTCAAACTACACGGAAGCGTGGAATTCTGAACGCTCTCCTGGAAGTCGAAAAGGGAATGACGCTTGGAAGCATACAGGAGCTGAACACAGGTCCTGGAGAAGAAAACTTCATAGTTCCAAAGTCTCATGTGCTGACTGCAGCTGGGCACAGGCGTTCCCCCCGGGCTGCTGACCCACTTGATTTCGGCTGCCGCTCTGCTTTGGCCTCGTAATTCAGATTGGATTGCTTGGACCGTGCTTTAACATAGCAAACTCACTCGAATCATGTCTGGAAGATTCATAAGCTGTCCTCAGCAGCCGTTGTGGCTTGCGCATCCACATTGGAAAGCCGGCGAGCGATTGACTGCAGCACCTGGTGAGCGTGCCTCTTTTCATTCGTAGACAGCGTAAGCTCTGTCAACATGTGCTGAAAGCATGCTGGCTGCCTCTCGCACTTAACATCCATACAGTACCCTGTATCCATGAACATGTTTCAAAATTATCTTGGGCAGCCTTGACGGAAATGCGAGCTGACCTATGCTACGCGAGCCGGAAAACGTGCAGGAAACCAGGTCAGCTCCACACAGCCTTCCTGCTCCGCCCGAGCGAGCTGTCTCTGAAGCTTGCTGGCCTCGAAACAGTGACAGTTAGACAGGAAAAAGCAGACCATCAGGGTAGATAGATATCGTTTCTAGGCAAGCCTGAAAAGAAAAAAGCAGAGCCTCAGAGCGCATGCAAGTCAAGATGTCCATGTGATTCTGATTCTGCATTCCCCGATCCGTGCAGCATATCACCCGAGAGAACTTGGAATGCATGTAGCAGCTTTGTTGGTTGCCCTCTGCCTCTCCTTCAACAAGCTAGGAGGCACCGGGCCGGGGCCGGACACCATCTTCACGCTGGCCCAGAAGTCTCAGGCCACTGCCAACTCGTCTTCGCTACCTTTTGGCACACCTCCCAGAATCCCAACATGTCTCAGAACTTCATGAGACTGCCATGTCAACAGATCTCATCAATGTTGAAACCCGCATAACAACAAAATTCAAATCCCAGAACGTAATTAGAACACCCCATCTCAGGGAATTGCAAAATCCACCCCGACCATCAAATGCAAAACACAGGAAGCGCCGGCTACTGGCAAGTAGTACTGGCAAGTATTGCTACTGGCTGGTGCTACTTAAGCTCCAACTGATGGACCAAGGGGAGTCGGTTCTGTGAATTTGAAGTGGACATTACCCCACTGTTGCTTTGTCCTTCCTCTGCGGCATCTCGACCACCAGCTTTAAGGGCACTGACAGTCAGGTCTAATGGGTTTGGCTGGTGGTGGGCCACACACGTGACAACTTATCATCCATATAAGTCCTCTGTTCAGTGGCCGAATGATAACGATGTGAAGCGCAAAAAAACAGTCTGGCACATATCAAAGCTTCGATACACAATAGTGCAGCACCGGCTATGCCAAATGAGCAATGGGCATACCAATATTCACCTCATCAAGAGGTGGAACGTGAATCTGACGCATAAGGGCCTGGATATACTCCACACCAACTGGTGCCACAGGTCCTGACACATGTGTTCAGGCAGATCGATATACTTGAGCGTGCGGAGTCATGACACAGTTTGCAGGTTTCCGTTATCTTGGTACAGAAGAAGAAGCCTTCTGCTGCAGCTCAGTGATGTGAAGGTGGCCTGGCGAGCGTACATTTCCAGATAAACCCCATGCTGTGTGCATAGATCAAATGCTACCTGGCAGCGAGGACTTCTTAAAGCCAAAATGGTTTTCAGCAAAGAGCTGCTGTGTGCTTGGCCTCGCGGCAGGGCCTGTCCTTGTGACTTCAAAATCCAAGTGTACTCGAAGCCTAGTAAATAAAATCTGCTGCCAAGTATCAGTCGGCTGCTCTTCCTGGTGCAACCCATAGCCATCCGATCTGCCTTTACACGAATCGGTCTGGGGTCCAAGAAAAGCTCCACCTTTCTCAGAATCATCGGAAGAGTCACCCGACAGATTCCCGTCACATTCAAGAAGTTCTGATTCTGCGGCATCCTCTGTCTGGATCTGTAGTGGAGTCAATCCCCCATCCCCCTCCTCACAAGATACGCGCTCGCCAGGTGCCGCTCTTACGGCAACACCAGATGACGTGTCTGCTTGGTGGCGCTCACACGAGTCAGTTCCGACAATCTCAGACCGAATCGGATTTTGTCCGTCGAACGACGTGTCGGTCATGGAGTTCGCGTCAGGAGATGAGGACGACTTGCAAAGCCTCCCATCCTCGAGGCTTGTGAGGCTGGCAACTGGTTGATCCTGCCAAAGAATTGGTGTTTGTCATCTTCGCAGCGCCCTTGATCTGAAAAAAGTATAGTATTAGTGCGTAGGGAGCGAGCAACGCGTACAAGCACTGAACATCACTGGCGCAGGCCTCAACCGCTTCTGCCTCCACAAAGTCCCAATCCCAGTCCTCAAAGCCAACCTCATGTGTTGCAGGCTGGCATATCCTTCACCAAGAATCGTGCCTGGGGCTTTGCTTGACCTATTAGCCTATGAGTATATCTTGCACCTTCTCCGCATCTTCCCAAGCTTCCTGGCAAGAGGAGACATGGTAACAGACTGCACTGGCCGTTTGCCATCTTTTGCCGTCCTCACTCCCGGGCAGCGAGCAAGCTTCGGGCTGCCCTGCCTTGGTGACAGGGCTCTCGCTCTCACGCGCGACCTGGTTCCCAGCTTGCTGCTTTATGTTCTTTTCGGTCACATCGGATTTGCAGGCATCCATGGCCTTCCGTCTTGATTTTGCCCGGTGGAGAACAAGTTTTCCCGACAACTTCAAAGCGCGAAATCATCCTTCCGTGCAATCGACTTCACTTGCGCGCTGCGAAAGAGGTAAACATTCCACCCTCAGATTAGCACGCGACCCGATGATAGCGGGGTAGCATCGGGTACCAGCCTTGGCACCTCCAGGCAGGCAGATGACATCCACGCGAATTGCTTGAAACTAATTGAGGAGATAGGGAAAGTCTTGTGATGCCTGATGGATTGTGGACACCGCTCCATCACGCAGGTATGCAACTGGCATTGCACGACGTTTCACATTTCGTGCGTGCTGGGCATTGTGATTGTGGCCTCCACTGACAAATCGTGTCTCACATGAGGTGCATAGTGCGAGTGCTGGGCGCTGGAGCTTTCTGGGTCATTGGCCAGAGCTACGGCTCCCTGATCCATGTTTTTTTGTTCTCACGCACTTTGTGTATGGGTTGCCGCCTTGTAGGGGCCGCGGCAATGCAGAGTAAATCATGTTCACAAGTAGATCACTGAGTCCGCTGTGGCTCAAGGTCAAAGGACACCTGATGGGGATTAAACTGGGTGAGAGCCTCAATGCCAGCAGCAATACAGCTACCAGGATCTGGCGACAGACAGTTCATCCCAAACCAAGGCCCAATGATGCACATGCAGTACGTTGGCAGCAGCCCACGGAACAAAATCAAAGGCTAATGGTATTAACACCTTTAGCTAAGAAGCCCAGAGTTCAGGACTGCGCTCACCATGGGTAGCAGTTGCTGTGACAGAAACTGGCTCATGCCAACCTGCAAGCAACGAGCTGACATGTGCAAGGTGAGGGAAAGCACCGTAGCACCCCACGGCTAGGGCCGAATTGCAGGCACTTCAAGGCCCCATCTGAAGCTGAGGTCGCTTGGGCGGGAGGGATTTCATTCTTGGAGAGCATCGGACGGCCCTTCTGGTGAATGCAATGTCTCACACCAGGAAGTGGCGCCGCGCCCTTTCTTTCTTCAGGCCAAGACATTCACCTATAGTCTGGCTTGGGTTTCAGCCGCGGGGCAAATAATGTGGGGAGAAAACATGGTCTCTGCATGATGTGCAAGGACAGCGGAGTTTGATGCGTGAATACTCTAGTCTGATCCAGACTGCTTGCGGCAAGTCCTGCCTTGTAGGAAACCCCAATACATGCTCAGGGGATGGGACAAACACTGTTCCGACAGTTCAGATATAGTTGCTTTGCATGGCCGCCTTTGAACTCCGACTTTGAGTAAGCACGATTGAGGCCGAGACATCTCTCCACCATCGACTGGCAGCCAGCAACCTCCTGGAGCGAGACAAGTCAGGTGAATTCATCGAGCTAAGCATTTTACATACGATGAGCCTTGCAAAGAGCATACTGCGCAGGAGCTACCCATTCAGTGCCTGAACGACAGCTGAATGAACTTTGAGTCGGAACGGCGGAATGACCATGACTAAAACTATGAGCCTCCAGCATGGTGCACAGTGAAGCCCTACGTATTCTCCTACGAGCCCTAAGACAGCTGCACAATCGTGCAAAGTCTACAACTGGAAGAGACCCCCCAGACCAAAGCCAAATAATCGCGCTTGTCTGAGCTGCATTTCTGACTCTCTGACATAATGCCCATCAACCACTGGGAGAGCACCCCAGCTTTGAGCCACTGCTCCACTCCCCACTGCTCCGGTTTTCAGAGCGGCGCTGTCAGGCTCATTGCTGAGATTCTGAGAATAGCGCCGTGGGAACCCTATGTCCTGGCAGGACTTGGGCAGCGGAACTTGTGTGTGGTGCAAGTTCCCGCGCCCAGCCAGTGCACAAAAAAAGTGGGACACGCCGTGAGATCGCATGGCTCGCTTTTAGCGTGCACAGGCAAACCTAGCGCCATGCAGCAGAAAGGCACGTGTATTTGCTTGGGGTCTGCATCAAGATAAAAGTGCAATCTGATGGAAGCCTTCTGCTAGCAAGCGCAGCAGTCCCTTATGTACATGTTTCCAACCTTTCAAATCCGTTAAATGTATAGTATAC